GTCATTGTTCAGCTTGAGATTGGAAAAGCTATCGGCAAATATACCGTGATGAAGAAGCTTGGAGAAGGCACCTTTGGAGCTGTATACATGGTACTTTGCAGTCTATAAGGCTGAAGCTTACAAAGAATGTTTAAGGTCCAGGATGGAAAGGGAAAAAAATACGCAATGAAGGTAGAAAGCATTAACGAAAAAGTTCCGGTGAGAGTGCATCCAATTTTGCATGGCTGAGAGAAGTGTACAGAAGCATAAACGTGCTCCTTTAGCTCCTTCGCCTCGAACTTCTTGTAATGCAACGTCTTCAAGCAAGACATGCTGTACATATGGCTGATTTAATAGATAAAGGACATTCTGACACATTTAATTACATTATAATGAAACTACTTGGGAAATCTCTACAGGTCAGAAGGAATTACGCTTTGGACATCTCTTCAATGAATGTTCAGGTGGCAAAGAAAACTGGTCCTGACAAGCATTTATCGCTTGGGCCAGCTATCGGATGTGCGATACAGTGTTTAGAAGCTTTGGAGGAACTACATTGGACGGGATTTTTGCATAGGTTTGTAAAAATAAAGCCGAGTATGTGGTTGTTATGTATGTCGCAAAAGTGTACCTATAATCACGACGAATTCGCCGTTATCGTTCCTTGTTACTTTTAATATCTCCGAGACTGCCCTTTTCTAATGTTTGCAAAAAAAAACGAATACAGTGAAAAAACTTGCGCACCCTTTAACAGTACTTAACTGCAGTTTCATTTTGATCAGCCATTGACTGAGACCTTTGTTACAAGTCTCTTATTCTTTGAGAAAAGGTGGAGTGGAAGGCTCTAATAACTTTCCTGCACAGACTGTTTGGGTCCTGGTAACCCGTCACAGCAGTGGGTGCAAAATGAGTCAAGCTTAGTTTTATAGACTAACCAATTTAAGCTCCAACAGGTAAGATTCTTTCTGTGTATGGCAAGGTGTACGCATTAAATTGTGGGATAAACTCGTGGTTCTCTAATGGATTTCAAACTCAAAAAATTCCCAAGAAATCGGAAGTTTGCACCACTACATAAACTATTTGAAAGGAGAAAACTTCCTCTACAAGGGG